TCTAATGTCCTGACTGCTGCTTCCGTTGGCATCGATTATAGAACCAAGCAACATGAATTCTTTGACAACCTCAATCTTCTCTCCATTTATTGTGATGCTGTGACTTCTCAGAAGCAGATGGCTAGAGCTGTCTTCCAGCCCGTTTTTGGTCCATCTGGATTGAGCAGGAGTCCCGAGTGGTATGAACGGTTAGCGCTCTCAGCTGCCACAGCAAAGCTGGAGGTTCAAGTCTGCTCCCAGGAACCAGAGAAGAAAGGCCTGGGAATCTCCTTTCAAACCATCAAGCACTGAAAACTGTATGGAGCACGGTTCTACTCGGACACACATGGGATCTCTATGCATCAGAATCTACACACCGGCAGCTGGTGTGGTGTATCACACTGAGCAGACCTGGGTAGGATTCCCAGCTTGTAAGCCTGGGCAGAAGGGGCCCTGGTGGCTCAATGATGGTGCAGTTAAGCACTGAGCTGGTAACCAAAAGGTTGGCAGTTCAAACTTGCCCAGCACCTCCACAGGAAAAAGACATGGCAGACTGCTTCTGTAAATAACAGCTCAGAAAACTCTATGGAGGCAGTTCCACTCTGTCACATGGGGTCACTGACTTAGACTCAACAGAAGGACACACAAGAAGCAGCAGCCTGGGCATTGTCCTCCCCTGTCAACCCAAGGTGCTGGAACCTTCGTCGTATACTGCTGGGAGGATTAAAATGGCACAGGGTAGGGTCATAGAAGGCTCAGTGAGCAGCGCGAGATCTGTCAGCACAGGGTGAGCCTGTCTAGGAAGCCCTCTGGACAGCAGGAGGACACCCGGGACTCGGGGGTGCTGGTGAAGCAGCCGCAGTACGGGGCCAGCGGTGCCAATCCTTGGCAGGTCCCATGGTGAGCTTGCACAGGACACAGAGCACCTGGACCCTAGGGCACATCAGAGTTATGTCCCCCTGCATCCCCCCAATGTTCTTAGCTATGGCCAGTGCCTGACAACCCAGGCGACTCCAAGAGCAACACACACAGATGATGGCTGGTGGAGGAGATGGTAAAGAAGAGGTGTGTGCGTTTGGAGGTGGGGGTGGTGCGGTGATAAGACAGAGAATGCACATCAAAGCCTCCTGAAATCGGAAGGTACCTTGACAACATGGAGATGGGAGGCAGGTTGCTCTTGAAGTTGATACAGGCCACGGTGGTCACCTGCTCGTGTGCAGAAGCCCGGAGATAACGCAGACACCCTGAAGTATTGAGGGAAAGGTGGACGACTTACTGTGGTACACGTGGAAACGAAACCTGTTGCCGTCGTATTGAGTCACACTCACAGCACCCTAGAGGACAGAGTAGAACTACCTCATAGGGTTTCCAGGCTGTCAATCTTTATGGAAGCGGACTGGCAGATTTGAATTGCCAACCTTTTGTTTTTGCAGGCAAATGCTTTGACCACTGTACCACCAGTTGTTGTTGTTGTTACGTGCCGTCAAGTTGGACCCGACTCATAGTGACCCCTCCTTGGGTTTCCGAGGCAGTATCACTACGGAAGTAGATTGCCCCATCTTCCTTCTGAGGAGTGGCTG